TTTTTTTTTTTTTTTTTTTTGCTATGAATCGTTTAAACTTTCTCTGTTTTTGATCTCGAAAATGAAAGTATATAACGTTATAGTAGCAGCCAACCAGAATTGTAGAAGTTTGAAGCCACCTATTCCCATACACTTTTTCCAATACCATCGGCATAGCGGTCTCTGGTTTTGAACATTGCCAGTCTGACTCGCTCCTTTTTCGTACTGAATGAGGGAATCGTCAACTCTATTGTACCTTCTTTCTCGCACTTACTCCGAACTATTATCCATTCTGTTTTTCCCATTTCATTCTTACAATTTGAAACAAAAACCAATCTTGGGAAATTTTTGGGTTGAACACAACTTCTTCTGCAAATTAAAAATACAAACTTTGAACTTTTTTTTAGACTTACCATAGTAGTAGTGTTAATATAATTGGAAGATCAGATGGGGATAGAGAGTAAATACCAAATGAAGGTGGTGGAAGGAGATAATGGCTACGTACTTGAAGATGTCCCTCACTTGACTGATTACATCCCTCATCTTCCCGTACTTACTTTCTTTTCTCCTCTTTTAGTTTTTATTCTCTAACTATGAAAATCTATCATTTCTGCATTTGTTTGGTTGCTGCACTTTTGATTCTTGATAATGTCTATTCAATGGCTTTTGTTAAATGGCTGCTTTAGTCTTTCTGCTTCAGAGGGCTCTGTTAATTTTTGGAATTATTACATGTTATAATGTTTCTTTTTGACTTGATCAACCTTTTATTGCAAGCTCTGATTTGTTTACACTATCCCATAAAAATATGCTAATGTTGAAATGAAAAGACTCCACCTTTAAATTTTTTACCATGTGGTGGTTGATGAATCCAATACATAAATTTTAGATTTATAGCTTTAGCAACAAGAGTATACTAGGCATGAGGAGCACATGTCCTCTAGACAGTTTAATAGTTTATTGAGTAGAACAGTTTCTGGATTCTATTTCTATATTTTGACCGGAAAATTACATGAGGCTATGCGTTAAAATATGTAGGGAGAAATTTTCTTCTCAATTAGTAGGGGGTAAACTGATATATGGTTAAAGTTATATAAAATGAAGGTGAAAATCGAGACATAAGTTTTGTCCTTTGGAAGTTTACTCCATGAAGATAAGGAGCTGTTACATTCCTTGATTTATTCAAGGACATCCTAACTTGATGAAGAATGACTAGATCTTTGAACTTACATTTATGTTAAAGAACGTTTTCGCGGCATTTACATATACTCTAAAGCAAGGTGTTATAAATTCTAAATTTGAATCAGATAATAAGAGATTTTGCTTGAACATGCATCACACTTTGTTGTATTCTAGGGAGTTCTTGGAGTATATCGATTTGATATATGGACTTGCATTCATGTCCAAAAGGTTCTGAGTTCCAATTCTGTTTGGAGATAATTGCAAACCATGGGATCATTGAAGTTGTATTTGTATCAACTCAGTGATATCTAATTATTGGAAGATCTAACATTGTATAGATGAGTTGCGCTCTTGAATATAAAGGGGTGGACATCCACTTGGAGCATTTTCGTAAAGAAATTCCATATTTATTTATCTTGATTGAGATGGAGAGAGAGAGAGAGTGAGAGAGACATTGAGGGAATATGCATTAGCTGTTGGGAAATATACTATTGAGTTCTTCAGCAACACTAAATGACTCATGAACAAAGGATGTTAACTCTAGCTCATATGGAAATATTTTAATACACTGAGTTGTCATGCTTTGTGATACACTAGCATCATGCATGTTTAGCAAGTAGTTATAGTTCATTCCATTTGAGACTTTACGATGAACTTCGCACATTCTACATTGAGGAGGAAATTGAGATTTCAGACTCTGTCTTTAAGTTTCTTTCAGATCACACAAACAACGCATTTCCTCTTTTTCTTATACGTACACTTTCTCTTCATGGTTGAGGTGCTGGCTTTCTTTTACATAAGCGCTCTTTAAATGAGCATTGTTTTCACCCTGGCCTTAGCTTTTTCTAGGTGGAAACAATTTTTTTTTTTTTAATGTTGTCACTACTCTTTGTTTGCTTTCTTCTCTCTCTGAAGTTTATTCTAATACGGAGTCCATATCCTTACACTTACTCTCATTTTGTTTCGTTCATATTTTTTCGGTTGGAGTGATCCACTTCTACTTTTTGCAAGAGTTGTCTTCACTTTTTCAGTCGGAAAATAAAATTTGTATCTGTTAGACACAAAACGCTTGATTTCGACTATTTAAAATGTGTATCTGCATTTATCCTCAACCATGTATGTTTGTTGCTCTAGATGTTGATATATCTACTAACTCGACTTTATTCTTCATTCCATTGCTTGATGACAGACTTATGATAACCCATTGCAGTCTAATCCAGCATACTCAGTTGTGAAGTGAGTCCATTATCAACTTTTCTTTTATTTATGCTATTAGGCCGATGTGGCAGTTATTACGCTGTTGACCCATGACAAGTTATGAACTGTCTTCATGATTTCAGGCAGTACTTTGTCGACCCGGATGATACAGTTCCTCAAAAGGTGAAATCTTCTTTTTGACTTGTTCTGCCGGTATATATACATTTCTTTCATAAAATATGTCTTTACTTCTTTCCCTTTCAATGGTTAATGAAATGGTTAGACGGATAACAGATAACAGATAGCTACATCGATCTGCGGAAATTGACTTAGTGGTTCTGCAAAGTGGGATGCTAGTCATACAAATGAACTACATAGAACTATCTGGAAAGCAAGTGTAGAGGATCATCAGGTCTGATGTTGGATTTGGAGATCAACAGATGCCAAATTATGTCGAATTAGTATTTCACAAGAAATTCTACGGAAACTTTTATCATTCAACTGCTAGAAATGATGTCTCAAAAAATGTACTCTATATTAAATGTGTCTCCCTTAAAGGATAAAAAAACTGAAGTACATGTGAAACAGAGTAAGAACTAATTGCAAATATGGTAAAGAAGCTACTGAAAAGGAAGACGTGGCTGACTCTTCAGAGTGTCTATAGAGAGTCCAAACTGAACTTTGCATCCTGAATCATTTCTTCAGTCTTGTAGTAGTTGCCAATCTCCTATGCCATTGCAGTGAAAGAGCGAAAAAAAGTGTGTAAAGATTCTTCTTTTTTTAATTGGCTTTTGTGGATAAAATATTTGATCAGCCATTTATTTTATTTCATATTCCTTGTTGGCTTCTCTTTTCATTTACCAAAAAGGGAAACATTTTTGTTAGAGAGAGCTCCTTTGTTCATCAATCCCTCCTCTTTCCTTGTGATAATTGTTATGAATTTGTTTGATCACTTTGTAGATTGTTGTTCATAAGGACAGTCCACGAGGACTACATTTTCGGCGTGCTGGTCCCCGTCAAAAGGTATGTCTACTTTCTTCAAGGATGACAATATGCAATTTGTTGCAGAACTATTGATATGCAATCTTTCACTCAGAACAAAGCTTCTATGTGTCTCAGGTTTATTTCAGTTCAGATGATGTTCGTGCTTGTATTGTTACATGTGGTGGTTTGTGCCCTGGACTAAACACGGTGATCAGAGAAATTGTACATAGCCTTGACTATATGTATGGTGTAGATAAAGTCCTTGGAATAGAAGTGAGTTGGCTGATGTTCAACTTCCTTATGCTTGATAAGCTGTTTTGTCTGTGCAGCTAACTGTACATTCTTTTTCCTTCATAGGGAGGCTACAGAGGTTTCTACGCAAAAAACACTATCAATTTGACACCAAAGCTTGTAGATGATATTCATAAACGTGGTGGTACAATCCTTGGGACGTCACGAGGAGGCCACGATACCACAAAGATAGTTGACAGCATACAGGACCATGGAATTAATCAGGTACTCCAACTACAAAAGTTTGTCTAACTATATGTCTGCTGTTGAATCTTGGAGTACCTTTCTTCTTTTGGTCCCTTTCTCTCTTTGGGTGGATTTTCGAATTTCTGCAAAAGTAACTTATTTAGGAAGAGAGTAGTATCTTGGTCAGAAGGAAAATCTTTGTGTAATTGACAAAAGTGGTATCATGGAGACAAGCATTGTCTTTACTTGTAAAAGAAGTTGAGTAGTATGTTTTCTGTAAAAAAGGAAAGAAGAAAAGATCCTTATTGATAAATTTTAGTGTTACAACAACATTAATGACTTATAGAAATATCCATTGTTCTATTTTAGCAATTTGCTAGTCCGCTTCGTCTGAGGCATCTTTGATTTCATCGCAAAAATCTTATGATAATGGCTGTCCTGCACAAAAGCTTCCACTTGGTATAATGAGTATCTTATTGGTTCAGGTCTATATAATTGGTGGCGATGGGACTCAAAAAGGAGCAGCTGTCATTTATGAGGTATGTTAGATTCTGAAAATTAAAAGGCCAAGTAATTACCCACCCAAAAACATGAGTTAATTTCTTGAGGGGATTCTTTACCACTCTACAACTATCAACTCAAATATCTTGTTCCATATGTACCATGTCAACATTATATGCATTCAGCTTCATCATCTGCACAGAGATTCAACACGTCTGAATATACCTTACTTCTAGTTCTGGCTAGCTTTTCTCAGTATGTCTTTGTAGTTTCCATGGATTTGCTAGACTCTAACGTGGAAACTTTCGAATATGCTAGATGCATATTTAGTCTCAGTGCAATGTAAATGTAACCAGCTACTGTCATATGCATTACTTGGTATCTGATTTCGGGTCCTGATGGTCCTTGGTGGTATCAATTCTTTGCTTGGTAAAAGAGAATTTGTGTTCATCTTTGCAAGCATTCTTAGAACAATCCTACTCCCTTTTTGCAGGAAATCAGGCGGCGTGGTCTCAAAGTTGTTGTTGCTGGGATACCAAAGACAATTGACAATGATATTCCAGTATTTCTCATTTCCTCTTACTATAATTGATTATATTTTTTTCTGGTATGATACACAATTTAGCAACCTAAAGAAGTAATTCCAAAGTTTCTTGTAAAGTGCAAAGCATAAATTTTACTGAATAGTAAAAGTACAGTGTAATTACTTTTTTTTTTTGAGAAGGTAACAATTTATATATTAATAAAAAAACTTCACTAAAAAAGTGAAGTCACCCATTGAAAATGTTGGTTTATGTTTAGTCAACAATGGCATGCCAATTGGAAGAGTTGGTGGAAAGAGTTGGTGTGGATACTAGGAGGAAGCTTCCTCCTTTGATGTCACCCATGACATCAAGAGGAGGTCTTTACCTCTATAAATAGATGCACTCCTTCACTTGTAGAAATCATCCCAAAATAATACAATACATTGTAGTGAGTAGAGAGTTAAGAGAGAAATTCTCTTAAGTGTAATTGGGAAATCTCCCCTTCCTTTGTTAATATTAAAAAGGCAACTGTTCTCTGGTGGACGTAGGATTATTTTGATCCGAACCACGTTAAATCTTGTGTTCTTTCTTTTACGTTTCTGCTAACAATTGGTATCAAAGCGACCGGATTCTTTAACGATCCAAGGAGGAAGAACAAGCAAAGATGAGTTCCATGAAGTTTGAAATTG